CAGTGGCCTGAACACACGACACAGAGAGGACGAGGCAGCATCAGGATGAGAAGAAATGACACATCCTCTCTCATCCACCCACCATCCGAGGGGTCTGGAGCCAGCCACAGCACCAAATGGTCAAACCAAGGGCAGTGAAAGAAGGAAGGAGGGAGGGTGGAGAAACAACACGTGTTCTGCACTTACCATGTGCTGGCAGCCCTCAGACTGATCACAGTCAGCCTTCACAATGTCTGCGAATCGGGGGTAGGAGAGCAGCTGAAAACGTACAGCTAAGAACGAGGGCAGCCCAGGCATGTGCTCGGGGCGAAGTGGAGTCCTCGTGGAGCTCGTGGTTTCAGAAAACAAGGCTCCATCCAGCCAGGGTGGGAGAAGGGGGAAGATGGGAGTTCACGGTCTCTGTCTCAGAAAGAAACAGATGTTTCAGTCCCACTCGCCTCACCCTCTAACCTGGATGCCCAAGAGACAGGAAGTCAGAGGAAGACACAGCCAGACAGGAGATGGGAGGCAGAGGGAGAGCAACATGGCAGCAGCTGGTCTCGGGGAGAAGGGGGCAAGCTTTGGGTCCCCTTTGCTGGGATGAGCAGGAGCCTTCGAGACAGAAACGTTGACTGTCAGGTCCGTGGGGCTCTCGGTGTTACAGGTAATAAAGCCCCTTTTCTATTCCCCAACCTTTAGCAATAACCCCTCAGACGGATCAGCATCGTGGAGAATGCTGTTCCCAAATCGAGGGCAACTGGCAGGAGTGGCCTCGGGTGACCAGGAGCAGCCCTGGGAGATGGCAGCTGAAGCAGGAGGCAGGCAGCCGCCCCAGGCGCCCCCGGCACTACTGGGGTTGGGGAGGGAGTCTCAGGACCTCCTGTAGGTACATGAGGACCTCACTTACTTCACTGGGATGTTTTAGGAAAGGTGATACAGGAATTGAAAGACCTAATCTCAATTCTACAGGGAAGGTATTGTCCCCATTTCAGAGATGAGAAAAGCAAGGCAGAGAGTATTTCCACAAGCTGCCTGAGACCACAGCTGCCAAGTGGAATTGGAACCCAGGTGTGACCTAAATCAAAGCTCATGCCCTTTCTGTCCACCAGGCTCCCCTGCACAGAATGTGAGTTCATCTCCTTTTTCAGATCCGACAAGGCCTGGGCCACTGGTGACGATGGAGAGCTTGCGGCTGGTACACATGGTTCCAGCGAGCCCTTCCATCCTTGCCAAAAAGCGGCTGCCAACATCACCCTTAGCAAAAGGATGGGATAAATAAGGGGGACATGGAGCAACTCTGGCTCAGCTGTCTGATTCCTATCTTTCCACAGCCCAGGCCTGCAAGTTAATGCTCGATTCCACAGGACAAGAGGGTGTTCAAACGCAGTAAAGAAAAGTGGAAGGTAGCAGAGCAAGCAGACTTAAAAAGTCCTCGCAGCTCCGCTGGCCCCGCAGAGCCCAAGCTCCCCTGGGTCTGTACGTACTGATGAGACGGGGTGGGACGGGCTGCGACATCATTACGGCTCAGCAGGATTGGTGGCGGTCTTAGAATGGAAACATTTTCTCAGTGACTTATGACTGGAGTGTGTATGTATTCGGAGGAAGGACACAGCTTCTCAGCTGGTCCTGGCCCACCCGAAGGAGTGACTTGGGGACACTGCCCTTTACCAGCTCGTCCACGCTTGAGGGACACAAGCTCCTTCCCACACACTGCAAGCTCCTCTGAGCCGAACTCAAGACCCGGGGCCCCTCAGCACCGTGCAGAGGGAGGGCAGCGGCTCCGACCCGGTGGCCAGGAAGACGAGGTGGGGGCAGTGATGGCTTACCCCAGGGAGGGCGGAGTCACGCACTCATAACAGAAGCTGCAGACAGCACCCGGGGCCCCAGCACTGCCACCCCCTGCACCGTGGGTCATTTCCCAGGACCCTGGGCACAGTCCTGTCACCCTGTGGGGAATCGTCTGCAGAACAGGGGGGCCCTTTTCAGCACCAGGCAGAGCACACTGCAGAGTTGTTTGCAACAGCGAAGTATCTGAAAACCACCGACACTATGATCTTGGAGTCAGCTGGTGTGGGTCTGAATTCTTCATTATTGAAAATTTATCTTAAGAAGCTCTCCCTAGCTTCTGATATGCAGAGATCCTTAGCCCAAAATGGACAGGACCATTCAAATGTGGGGGAAAGGATTTTCTTTTGCTTTTTAAAAAACAAACCACATTTAATAAGATCTTTTCAAATTCAAAGAATTTTTAATCATGGTAAAATACACAAGACTTATAATTTACCATCTTAACCATTTTTTAGAGTCCAGTTGAGTGGTGTTGATTATATCCACACTGTTGTAGAAACAGATCTCTATAATTTTCTCATCTAACAAAACTGAAACTATAGCCATTAAATAACGCTCCCGAGGTGGGTGGGGAGGGTAGCGCTCAGTGGTAGAGTGTGTGTTTAGCATGCACAAGGTCCTGGGTTTGAACCCATTAAAAATAAAATAAAATAAATAAATAAACTTAATTATCTCCCCTCCCCCCAAAAAACAGAACAAAAATTCTCCTCATTTTCTGTTAGTTTTGAGCTTTAAAAATCCTATTACTAGACCACGTTATAGAGTAATTCATTTTCCAATTCAAAAATTCCTGGAAACATTATTCACGAAGACTTACAAGTAATCACCACCTTCCTCTGCCCCGACCTGAGAGTTCAGAGGATGACAGTAAGGGCCGAACAAAGAGAAGCAGAAGAAAAGCAAAGGTAAATGAATTTTTCATAAACAGGAGTTCCAGGAAGAAGAGACTCCAGGCGGTTCCACTTAGACCACAAAGTCACCTTGGGTTTGAGTGGCTAAGTTGGTTGGGTCACCTCTGCCTTTGGCCTCATTAACTTGCACAAAAGAACTGTGCACACAACAAGGCAGCTGAGCAAGACTCATTTGCCCACACGGCTGTGGGGGCCCCTGTGCCGCCCCAGGGCCTCAGATGTGACCACCACCGGGTGGCGTGCACCAGGGCCAGCTCCCCTCTGGGCAGACTGCTAAGTCATTTCTAGAAGAAAAATGGCCCTAAATATTCCAGGTTGGAAAATAGAACCATTCCAAGTCCATACTTGAAACCCATCCAGATTTCACACTGTAACTCTGTCTTTGTGTTTAAATTGCCCCCAGGACCGATCTTCAAACACATACACACACACACACACCAAGAATAACTTCACAGGGAAATATTTATTTCATGAGACTCTCACGGGCTGCCCTTTGCCCTTTACCAACAATAGATGAATTCCTGCCCTCAGAGAGAAACCGTGACCCTGCTCTTTAAAGCAAGCAGACAGAGGCTGCGCTGAGCGACTTGGCACAAAGAGGGCCTCACAGACGCAGGGTGCTCAGAAAAGCCCAGCAGGCCTTGGGCGGCAGCAGAAGGACCTGTGACTGGCGGGCCGCTCCCAGGAGGAACCAGCCACAAAAGGAGGTCCAAATCCCCGATCAGGAGGCCTTCAACATTCTCTCTGGATCAGCCTTGAAAACACACACATCCTTTGCACCAGCAATCCCACCTATCACAGTTTAATTTAAGCAATAATCTCATAATTGAATAATCCCATAATTTGCACAATAATTCTGGACACACACCATGATGTAGGAAAAAAGGTGCTCGCTGTGGGGTCCTTTAGAGTCAAAACACTGGAAACCACCGAACTTCCAACTGTAAGAGGCAGTTTGAAGATACAGGATCTTGTCCACAGACGAGAATAAAGGCAGCCAGAAGACAGATGGTCTCTAGTAGTTTTAATGACATGAAAAAAGTCTGCAATCTAGTAAGTACACATATATAACAAAGAATCTGTCTGGCGTGAGGGTAAGGAGGTAAACAGATAGACCCATTTTTCTCACTCATAGAGGGTTTGTGTAGTAAAAATTCATACTTGAAAAGGCAAGATCAGGGATATTATCGGATTGAGAGAAAAGCAATAAATGACATTACACATACTTTGAAAATGCAGTTAAGTGGAAGTTCATGGTGCGGGGTGGGACTGCTATAGAAACAGCGTGATGGATACAGCGGCACTTGAGAGCATCAGAGCTGGTGGTACCCTCCCCACAAAAGGGGGAATCCCTGAGGGAGCAAGACCTGAATCTCATGCTGGACAAGAGTGGTGAGGCTTCACTGGACAAGAAAGTACAGGAGAGATGACCCAGAGCCGTGCTCCTTGCTCCCTGTGGCCTGACTGTGGGTGGACAGGAAGGTAGAAATTCCTACAGGCTCTAGTAAGGGGCCTTAGGAATGTTCTGGAGGCCAGCTTCCTGCCCTGGAGATGTCTGGCCAGGATGAAGAGGCTCCCTAAGGCTCCGTATGGGCACAAACCCAGGAGTTCTGAATGGCCGACAGAGCCAGCCACAAGCCAGACCACATCAGCCTCTCTCGAGCAGACACCAGCAAGGATCCACGTGTGAATTCAAGCCCCCTTCTTCCTGCCCACCCTGGGGTCACACCCAGATACCGTCCTGTGAAAATAGGGCAAGGAGAATACAGCCTAAAGGGACAAGCACCCACCCAAAGTCACAAGCATCCAAATGAAGCTACTTAAACAGAAAGAGACTATGGACACGGTCAAGTTTAAAATGAACTAACAAACACCTCTTCTGCCTAGTGGAGCGGAGCACTCGAGGACGATTGAACATGTTATCAAAGTAATGTTAGGTCATTTTTTCACCTGCTTCTGAGTCGTAGCATCGAGTGAGTTTTCAATCTAAAAACATGCAGCATCTTCAAGTCCCAGTGGGCAAAACCGCAGCGGGCATTACTGGACTCTGACACCCCCAGTGTCTGTGGTGCTCTGAGTGGGATTATGGGATACTGTTATTTATCCTCTTTTTGTGTACCTACGTTTTCTAAATATTCTGCGATTGATGCGGTATTTTTTCGCACGAGAACAAGATCGGGTGGCTGTTTGTCATTCCCCTTGGCGAGGCCCCGTCCTCCATCGGCTCTCCCGTCCTGCAGGACGTCGGAAGGGCAAACTCACCCGGCAGCGGGCAGCCGAGGATCTCCATCCTCATGCAGATGCTCCCGTTGTCGAACCAGGACTGCGGGTTTATGCGAATGTAGCGCGCCACCATGGGGACGGGCAGCTCGTTGAGGACAGGGATCTCCTTTTCACTGTTTCCTTCAAATATCTATTTACGCATGAGGGGGGAGAAGGAGAATCTTTTAGAGCTTGGTTATCAAGGGATGGAAGACTCAGTAACTCACTCATTCCACAAATCTCACTGAGGACCCCTAATGTGAGCTGGGCATTGAGGGGGGAAGAGAAATGGATCCGGTCCGGACCCTGACCCCAGGAAGCCCCCATCTAGTGGTGGGGGGCAGGGAGGAGGAGAAAGGGAATACTTCGAGACCACAGATGAAATCCATTAGTGCCGTGGCAGAGAGATAGCCACAGAGCTTTGGGATTTCGGAAGAAGGAGAGGACCAGGTGAAGCTTCGGGGATGAGGCGCCATTTGAACTGGCTTTGAAGGAAAACGATTTAGATGGGTAGGGATGGGAGTGATTCTAGGGGAAAGGAAGCAAGGGCTGGAGAAGCCCGGAGATGGGATTCAGGGGGAGAAGAGCAACTGACTCGCTTTTACTGGAACACGAAGCAGTGTGTGAGGGGGGAAGAATGAGAAAGGAGGTTGCAACGGAGGCTGCAGTCCGACTGTGGGGGGCGCTGGATACCACGTGAGGACCTTATACTTCAGAACCCGAGGAAGAGGGTGAAAGGATCAGAACTGACCAACCAGGAAGGATCATGGAGCTGAAAGATCGGGGTCATTAAAGAAAGTCAGGGAACTATTACACTGAGTAGCTGTGCGGGCCCCAGCATACCCATGGGCCACTTACCTTCCAGGGCTGACCTGGGACTCGTGGAAGGGACCACCTCCCAGCAGCTCTGAGTTCTACATGAGCCCTAAACGTGGGCCACTTGGTTCTGAGCTTCAGGGCATGGAAAGGGGGCCATTCTCGATCCAACTGGATGGCTGGTTTGAGTTCACACAGAATCAGCAAACATCCAGGTACAAACGCTGCCCAAGCTGGCAGAGCCCTGCGCAGGCAGCCACTGGGGGCTGCTCAGAGGAGAGAAGACACTCACCATGTCTCCGGATCCGTTCTTAACAGTGACCCACGTATGACTGTCATTGCTCACCATGACCTTATAGGAGGTCACCCAGTCACTCCTAAGGGAAAACAAAACACCAGTGGGACCACACACTTAAAAATGTTTACCTCTTGGTGGGAGGCGGGGGTATAGCTCAGAGGTAGAGTGTGTGCTTAGCATGCACAAGGTCCTGGGTTCAATCCCCAGTATCTCCATTAAATACATAAACAAACAAACAAACAAACAAACAAACCTAATTACTTCCCAAAAGAAAAAAGTTTACCTCTTTCATGCAGAGGTGTGGCAACATGCAGAGTAGACCCCAGAGGCAGATGGCACTGGGTCACACCTTGGCCCCACTGCTCGCTCACCCTCCCTGTGGCCTTGGCCAGGTCCCTGACCCATCTAGGCTATAGTTTATTCATCCAAACAATGGGAATCATAAAAGCTTAGAGGACTGATGTAAGTGCTAAATGGTTTAATACCCTTTAAACACTTTGGACAATGCCTGGCCCCCAGTCAGCACAAAGTATTGATTCCACACACAGATACACAAATAATTACTATCTGTTGACACTGAACACTTACATCACACATAGTACGAGAAGTCCACGTGGAAAAGTAATCTCCGTAAAAGAGGCAAGTCGGTTTAGAAGTTTCATTTGGAAAACTGATTTGGGAATCCGGCAAAGTCGATCCCACCAACCCCCAAAATAGCAGCGCGAGTCTCTAAGAGACAGTCGGCTTCTCCTTGGCTGTCACAGCCACACAGATAATTCCCCCGCCCCCGCCCCCAGCGGTAACAATAATCCAGTGACAGCTGGGCCTGAGGCCAGACCCCTGTCATCACCTCCTACTGCACAGAAATCACTGAGGGTAAAAAAGCCGTAATTCAACTTCCCAGAGTGGAGGTCAATTTGATAGACTTGGCAAAAAAACAACTTTCCTGTGGAAAACACATTTTTCCCTTTTGCCTCAGTTTTTCATAACTTGAATTGTTAAGCAATATAGAAAAGTCTCCCCAGCATCTTCCTGTTAAATTTTTTAAATAGTAGGACTAAGTGCCAGTGTACTAATCTTCTAGAACATGCAACCAGCTGTAGCTTTTGGGAGCCATGTTTTCCTCCTGCAAAATCTCCTCGGACTCAGGATCCAGACAGATCCCCGTAAGGTTCCCAGTTTCTAGTCCAAATCAACAGTGTCTTGTAAAGTTTGTTTAGAAAGAGTAGCTGGTTCTATTCATTCTGGTTCGTCTGACTAGTTGGACAAATCACTCTTAGGTGCTTTCACACGCGCTTGCAAACAAACCCTGGGCTGAACCTTCTCTCTTCTTCTCTCGCCTGCCCACCAGCTTTGGGTGAGGACCTGCCGGGGGCCAGGATCTAGCAAACAACAGTTCCTGCCTGGGAGGCCGCGGGCTCGAGCCCACGCCTGCAGGTTGCGACGCAGGAAGCATGCCTTTTGAAAGGCGCCTCAGCAAAAGCTCATGTCCTTTGCACTGGAAAATTATCCTCACCCAAAATAGCAACCTGTTTCCCACATTCAAATCATTTCCAAATGACTTGCATCTGCAGTTCGTTTGCCATCTGTTTTCCCCTGATAATGCCCCACAGGGATCCAAGCAGACAGTCTGCAGAGGTGAGGGGGGTCTCCTGCAGGGGTGGATGGGGTGAGTTTAGGAAGCCTCTCGGTCAGAAGCAGCACACAAACAATGAGAGGGGTGGGAAGAAAAGTTAAAATAAGTTCTCCAAAGAAAAGGGGAGAGAGAAAAAAGGAAATGAAAACCAGGTGACAGTTTCTCAAACTTAAAAAAAAAACAACCCAAATGAGAAGAAATTCAACACTTACGTCTGAAGGGAAATGAACTGTTTACGTGGCTCAGCCCTCTCTCCTGAACTGCACACCTACATTGCATCCTTCTGCCTGTTTGACCTCTCTGCTGAATGTCTCGAATTTAACTCACCCAAATTGAATCATTTCTTTCACTCTGTGCCCCAACCTGGGGTCTAACGGAGCCCCTACCTCAGAAAAGTTACTGCCACCCACCCATGGCAACAAAATCCCAGAGCCATCCTTGGCACCCCACTTTCCCTCCCTCCCCTATGGTGAATCCATCACCAAGTTGTGTCAGTTTTACCTCCCATGTCTTACTAGAATCTAATTCCCTTCATCTCCACTGCCACCATCCAGCCCGTTCTCTCTGGCCAGGATTATTACAGTTGCCTCCAACTGGTCTTCTGGCCTTTAAACTGCCCCCCAATGTATTCTGCAGCCAGAGGCTTACTTTTCTAATGAAATATTGTCACTGCTGCCCCCCACCCCCAGCTTAAGATATCATTTAGTATTAGACCAAATTCCTCATCACATTCTACAAGACCCTTGATTATCTCTCATTTTCCAGGCTCTTTCAATTTCTGATACTGATTATGCTCTCTCTTACCTCAGGGCCTTTGCATGTACTGCTCCATTTGTCTGGACTCCTCCTCCTCTCCTGTCTCCCGTCTGTCTCTGAATTACTCACACCTCAGGCTATCAGATAAGCCTGTTCTAATCCTCCAATCTAGCCAGTTTCTTTTCTTACATGTTCCTTTCCTTCACAGTTTAATTCCATTTGTAATTTTTACATCTTTCTAGATTTATCTGGTAGTGTCTTTATCCTCCACTGGAGCATAAGCACCTCACAGATGGTTGAAGATGAGGCTGTGGTGCTTTGGCGGATGTGAAAGGAAGTTGATGTCCTGGAGGGCAGGGTGAGGGACAGGGCAGCAGAACGGGGGCTCCGTGGGATCCACAGGCCATTTAATAGAGGTGGAACTTCTGCCAGGCAGTAGGGAACTGGCCCTTTTGCTGCCCACCTAGCATGTATTTGTTAATAGTACTTTAAGACAAATTAGAAAGTCTCTTCCCTTCTAAAACTTCTACCTTAATAGAACACTTAGAAATCGGAGACTACTTCAGTGTTTCCTCTGTTCATGAAACCAACTCTTCTTTCTACCATCTCTGAAAGTGAGGGTAATGGTGATTTCACCGATGAAATGTAAGTGACAGCAGAGGGTCCTCTTGCCACAAGTTTACCAATAAGCAGCCTTTGTTCATTTTGTCTCAGGCTTAGTTTTGACTTTGACAATTCATATTATTGCCCATAATTATCGTTTTTTCATTCTAATTGCTTTCTGAGAATGGACAATTTATTTGTCCACTTTATTGCTAATGAGCACTTGAATGGTTTCCAAGTTGGACCATAATGAACAGCAGTAGTTCTATGGAGAGTCTTGTGTGTATCTTTTGATGAATTTATACAAACTGTGCTTGGTGTAAAATTAGGAAAAGAACTGCTGGATCATAGGTCCTAGGATATACATTTGCTTGGCTATAGTAGTTTTCCAAATTAACTGTATCTATTTATAGTCATACCAGCAGAGTATGAGAGTTCCAGTTGCTCCACATTCTTGACAACACTTGGTATTGTCTTTTTCATTTTAGCCATCCTGGTGAGTGTGTTCTGTTACCTCATTGTATTTTTGTAAATTTTAACTTACTGGATGACTAATAAAGTTCAATATCTTGCAGGTTAATCGGGCATTTGCGTTATCATCTTTTGGTGAAATGCTTACTCAAGTTTTCTCCTTTTTTTCAATGAAGTTGTTTGTCTTTCTCACATTGACTCATAAGAGTTTTTTATATCTTCTAGATATGAGCTATTTTGTTGAATAGGTGGATTGCTAATATTTTCTCCAGTTTGTGCCTTTTTATTCTCTTTGAGGTATCTTCTGATGAAGAGAACTTCTTAATCTTTATATAGTCCAGTTAACTGTTTTTCCCTTTACAGTTTGCAGTATTTAAGCCTTTTCCAATAAATTTTTGCTTACTCCAAGATCATAAAGATATTTTCCTGTGCTTTCTTCTAAAAGCTTTATTGCTTTGCCTTTCACATTTAGATCTGCAATCTACATGGAATTGATTATTGCATGGTGTGAGATAAGGGTTAAGATACACTGTTTTCTACATGGGCTTCCAATTGACCCAGAACCATTTATATGATTACTTTCTTATTGCACATCAATGACATCATTGCTACAAATCATGTGACTGTTGCACATCAATGACACCATTGCTACAAATCATGTGGGTATGTTTCTGGATGCTTTACTCTGTTCCATTGTTCCCTATCTTATGCTAAACCCACCCTGTCTTAATTTCTGTAGCTTTATGACAGGTCTTTATATCTGGTTATGTACATTTTCCCACTTTGTTTTTTGCTTTTCACGTTCGCCTTGACTATTCTTGGCCCTTTGCATTCCTATATAACTTTTAGAATCAGCTTGTCGATTTCCAAAACAAAGCCTTTTTGGATTTTAATTGGAATGTCATTGAATATATAGGTCAGTTTTAAAGGAATTAACATCTTTCAGTATTAACTCTTCCAATCCACAAACATGGCATAGCCTTCTATTTATTTAGGTTTTATTTTATTTATCTTTTGTTAGATTTATTCCTAGATAGTTGATGTTTTGGTGATTTCAAAAATGATATCACCTCAAATTTTATTTTCTCCTTGTTTGTTGCTGGTATGTAGAAACATAAAGGCTTTTTGTATGTTGACTGTATATCCAGCCACTTTACTAATTCATTGATTAATTCTAATAGTTTGGGATTCCTTTGGATGTTGTTATAGACATGTTATGTCATCAGAGAACAATGATAGTTCTATTTCTATATCTAATTGTTAGGGATTTTATTTTTTTTTCTCATCTTATTTATTATACTGGCTAGGATCTCCAGTTTAGTGCTGAAAGAAGTGGTAATAATAGACATCTTTGTCTCTCCTTGAAGGAAAGGTTTGAGTATTTCACCATGTTTCCCATAGGGTTTTCTTTCCTTTGTTTATATGTTTATTTGTTTTTATTTTAACCAACTGTGAGTTCATTCTTTTTCACATAACAAGAGAATCTGGATGTTTGCAGCTGTTGGAATTCATTCAGCTGGATGACTGTTTCAGAGTCAACATCAGTAGACATTCATTTTTCATACTCATTGTCTCCAAGTTCTAAGAAGACATCCTTATCTATTCATTTATCA